TATATATATATGTATAAAATGGTATACTTATCTGTATGAGACAGAGGGGAAGGGGTAAAGTTGGAGGAAAAGGGAGAGAGAAGAGATTGAGAGAGAGAAGCAATCCTTGCTTTGTTCAGTGCTCTGTTAACTAAAACCGGTACATATCCTGTCATTGAAGGTTCTGGGATAACTCTTGTCACTGTTACCTCAGTGGCCATGAACCATGGGAAGGGGACACAGTTTCAGTATGCACGGGTTTCAGTTAACACAATGCCACACACACGTGAACACACAGATCATAGAAATTAATTTTTAAAAGCCCCAAAGAATTAATTCGATGCAAAATACGTATAGTTGCTAACATCACACAGGCAGAGTGAGTCAGAAGGTAGGGAAGCAAATACCCACCCCCAGGCACCAACATGGATATAGGTCAACAGTGTGACTTCAGTTAGATTTTTTAATTTTAATTTTCTCCGAGTTATCATTTCTTAATGTGTGGAATTTTGAGAGTACAATTATAGTCTAGTTTCATTATGTTTTAAGTTACAGGCTAAAATCTAGCATGGTGTGGGGTAACATGGTATGAATGTGATTTATTTGAACTGTAACTTGGCAAGCCAAGTAATCTTTGCAAATTATAAGTGTGTTATGTCTATTTTATTGATTCAGTTGTATTCTGGTTATTTTAATTGTATATTTAGTTCATATGGAAGCAATCTTTTTTATTTTTTTAATTTATTTTATTTTATTTTATTTTTATTTTTATTTATTTGAGAGAGAGAGAGAGAGAGAGAGAGAGAGAGAGAGAGAGAGAGAGGTGTGTGTGTGTGTGTGTGGCCAGCTCAGCCCACCAGGGGGCGGGGCTGGCTGGCATGTGGTGCTGGGGGATTGAACCGCAGTCCCTGATGTCTGCTAATTGTTCTAAGTAGGTGCTTTAGACCACTGAGCCATCTCTCCACCCCAGCAATCTTTTTTTAAATAATTAAATTTTTAATTTTTTTGTTGACACCAAATCTCGCTGTGTAGTTTGGACTCCTAATGATCCTTCTGCATTAGCCTCCCCAGTGTAGGGATTACAGGCACGCACCACCATGCCTGGTTTCAGGGCCAGCACAGCATGATGTACCAAGGACTGAACGCAGGACCTTGCATTTGCCAGGCAGGCATTTAGACTGCCAAGCTGTCTCTTTGCTCTGTATTTAAGCAATTTTAATAGGCACTACTTCCAAAAAAGTCAAAGGAATGACTATTTCTTTGAAGGCAATGATGTGCTATATAACAAGCATTGTTGAATTTCTATCATCTTATCTTTTGAAATTCGGTATCATTTCTAATATATTTTTATCTATTAATTCTTTTGTTATCTTTAAAATGAAAGTACTGATAATTCTAAATGTTTTAAAAGGTAAGATTGTTTAAAACATTGAAATGTTAAATGAAGAGGTAAAATATTTATATATAGTAAATACAGTCTCATTAATATAGCATTCTAATGATTAGAGATTTCAGTTGTACCCATCAAATAATATAGCCTCATCCAGTTATATAATAATGTTCCCTTACTGCAATCCAACGGTGTTGCTGAATCTTTCATTAACTCTAGATACTATAGAACTAGGAAAGAATTACATTTTTACTTGACAAAGTCAAATAGTTGCTAATGAATGAATAAATGTAAAACTACTTGCTGGAATTACTGATTCCTAGGTAACATGCTTCTGTGTACTTGTGTCTGACCAAGTGATAAGTACCTATACATTTACTGACATTTTCACATTAAGAAAATCATTTTCTAGGTCCCTGCTGATTTGGTCAGGAGCCTTTGTCTATAATGCACAATGAAAATAATTGAATATTCATCTATGGGTCAAGACAGGGCAGAATGAAGTGTGGCAATTAGGGTAATTGGCCACCATGCATGCAGGGAATAAAGCTTCTTGACAAGATAAACAAAAAAGTAATGTACAGTATTGATTTCCAGGCAGTAAATACCCATTATCTCATCATTCCCTTTCACTAACCCTGAAAAATGAATTATGTTTCTTCAATTTTGCATATAAGGAGCCTGAAACTTAAAATGAAGTACCTGGCTGAAGTCTCATGTCTGGCCCAAACCTTAACCAGGTCTTCCCCCATTCTGTGCCACTAGGAGAGAATCATTTACTGCTTCATCTAGCTCATCACAAGACACTTTGCAAATGAGGGTAACCAAAGACATTCATGGGAATTTATTGTACCACAAATGGGTTCCTAATGTAAGGGCAGCATTAGTGACTTGGTGACAGTGCTGTTGAGACACACATCAATCACTACTGCATTCAGATATATTCACCTCCTGTGTCAAGAGACAATCATATTTCCATGTTTGTCTGGAGAGCTGCAGAGGTCAGATGATGCCAAAAGCATCATGCCCTTGGCCTCACATGGGTGTTCCGATGGCCACTAATGTGGAATGGTCCACACCTGAGGTCACACCACAGTGCCAACATGTCCACGGCCAGGGTGGGTTCTGCTGCCAGACATGACAGCTGGGTGGACATGGGAGCTCCTCTGAACTGGCAACTCCTCATTTGGAATTGACAGATTAGATGAAACCACCACCTCTAACTTTCTAGGTCTAGATCTATGGCTTGAGGTTTGGCAAGGTTGTGCCAACCTGCAAGAGAAGTTAGTAAAGACTTGCAAATTATGAACTTTGAAGAAGTACAGCCAATTTTGGATTGGAAAATTGTACTTGAAGCATTACACCACTGAAAGTGTTAGCATTTTGTATTAGATAACTTCACAGTTATATATGTGTGGCTACTATGAGAATAACCAACTGTCAGCCTAAGATTCCAAGATGATGGCTTTTGGTTACTTTTGGCTCAGCCCAAGCATGATGTTGACACCAAGTTTTAGTCATTCGAGGAGTTTCATGATGCTTTATGTGGCTCACAGCCCTTCCTTCTTGCAACATCCCCACCCCCGCTCTAGTCCTTAGTGGTGTGAGCGCCTACTGTCCTTCCACTGCACCACCTGTTCTGTCTTCTTTTTCAGCATTTCCCCTGCCTCTTTCTCTGACGAGAACTTCTGGAGCATTTTCTAGCCCCAACCCACAAGTAACTTTATTGATCCTCGCAGTTCTAGTCACTCCAGATCTACTTCCCCAGCCAGGAGCTATGACTGAGCTCAGGCCCACTCACAGATGAGAGTTCTCAGGCACTTCATCCTCTGTAGGTCTCCATTAAATTACCACTTCTTTCCACTGTCCCTGCCATGAGGAATGGCACCAATACTCATCACTTGCAGAAGCTTATCAAAATTAGGCCTCTGTGGATAGGCAAAAACCTCAAGTGTGAAATAAGTCACATCCTTGATCATAGACAGTATGCCTTGGCGGGGAGGGACTGTAGCAAAACTGAAGCCTGCAAGCCATGAGAAAGGGGCACCAGGCCCTTAACTCCAACAGATGACAGCCCTCTCGTAGTTCAGCCTGGGCCTGACAAATTGGGAGTTCTGTGGAGGGCACTAGAAAGATTGATTTTAATATGAAATCTCTATGTTTTTAAATGTTGATCATTAATTAAGCTTAAAACTAGACTGAACAAAATATTTTTGGCAGCTTGCTATCTCTTTTCTTGTCCTAGATTGATGCTATCTACTTTTATTCAAGAACTAATTTTAAAAAATGATGTTTCACTGTTTCAAAGTTCAATTTAGTAGTAAGTACTATTTGTGTAAAAATTTGAGAAGTTACTCTTCTTTTATCCTCAATTGTACATGTTCTGTATAAATACATTAACTATGCTGACAGCAGAGATTTCGGGGCAGACAAAACTAATTTTCTGAAAGTTGGATTGGATTGCCTTTAAACTATCAGAGAAGTGGCCATGCTGTAAAGCCACACACAGTAACCCCTTCCTTCCTGTGATGCTAACTCTAGCGCTGTGTGTCACAGTGTGTAAATGGCACACCATGAGACTGAAGGCAGAACTCTTGGCCTCTGTTGGTCGTGGAGTTGAATCTACTGACTCTTGTGCTCCTGCCAAATTCACACCTTGGCTTGTGTAATGCCATATCAATTTTTATCACACTTGATACTAGCATATAAAATAGAGGAAATACATGTTTCATATAATTTATTTTCACAGTTTCAAATTTGTAAGATTTATTTTCAAAACCAATAGAAATAGTGAAATTTTAATAAGGAGTCAGCTCAGCATGTACTTTATTTGCATAATTTGAATATAGATTTGAGAAAATTCACTTAAAAAATCTCTCTTGAAGAACTTTTAATTTGGAAACTTTCTTTCTTTCTTTCTTTCTTTCTTTCTTTCTTTCTTTCTTTCTTTTTTTTTGGGGGGGGGGGGAACCAGGGATGGAACTCAAGCCTTGCGCTTGCCAGGGAAGCGCTTATTCTACTGAGCCATCTCCCCAGCCCCAGGAAACTTTCTTAATGTTGAATAAATCTCTGTATCAGATGGAGCAAGTCAGCTTTTTCTAGCACCATGACTCTACAGACCAACCATGTCTTCTGAAAACAAAGCAATATGAATGTTGAAAGACTAGGTGAAATGATTTATGTTGGAAACAGTGAAGTCTTCTGAATACTGGTTGGGAATATGGTGTGACTTTGGGTTTATACACATGGGTTTAGAAAAAGCCTTTTAATATTCACTTATTTATAATGTGAGGGCACTTGTGTTTAACCATGTGTCACTCTGTTGTATCATGATTCCCTTCCATCAAGTAGAGATGGTAAGAGAGGCCTGATTGTTGGTTTTGCAAAAAACAAACAAACACAATGCAAACGACTGGTGGACTTCAGTGTGTGCAACTCAGTTTAATGTGTATTTTAATTATGTTGTAGAGTTTAGAAATTAACATGTTAAAGTGTATGTAGAAGTGAAATATGAGTAATATACTTATTGGATCCCCATTCCTGTGCATGAGACTGTTATTTCTGCAGTATGGTGTCAGTGGCCATGACTAAGAGGCTCCAGGAGCAGGGATGAAGGGCACAGGGTACTCACCGATAAGGTACATGCCAATCCAATCCCCTGCGTCCACCTCCTCCTTGATGTCCCAGTGGATCACCAGGTCCTGTGAGTGCCCTATGGAATAGTAGGAGCTGCTGACCATGAGCGTGGAGCGGCTGTCTGAGGTGACAAGGTCGGTGTCACTGGTGGAGCGGGGGATGGTGACGCCATCATGAGGGCCACCCCTGATGTCCATGTTGTGGAACTGGTCAGGGTTGTAGCTGTAGCGGAGTGGCTCCTTGCACCGGCGCCGGCTCTGAGAATTTCGAGATGGAGACGCCATGGCGGCCAGGCCTAAAAACCTGTTTTGGTACAGATTCTGTGGGGACAAAGAAATGGTGAACAGGGTCAGGCATGTCAGCAACTTTCTCTGTCTTCATGTGAAATTTTAAATGCATTGAGGGAAATCAGCTGAAAAAAGCCTCCCTCCTGGAATATTGGAAATAAAATGTCCTGCATGCTCCTGGGGACAAAGACCGTAACTCTGGGTGCACACATGGACAATACGAAGGACACAAACATACCAAGGCACCTGTGTTTGTATGTTCTGTTGTGGTCTTTGCCTCTCCAGTTTTCTTTAGCCTGCTTGACTCTAGAAAGACTGGGCTACGTGCAAAGAGGACCTGAAGATGTGACTGCCCCATCCAAAGTGCTGTCTGCTGAGCTCTCCAATGTCAATTCACTGAGAGCCCATGCTATCTTTTCTGGGGCAAATGATTACCTTGCCGGTCTTCCAGGGAAGTCTGCAGCACTCTAGTTCCTACACACAGCCCAAATTAGAGGTGGGTCCTGCTGAGTGAGGCAGGCTTTCTCCGCCACTTAGGACCCCTTCCTCTTTGTAGGATGGCTCTGGGCTGCCTGACATTTCCATTAAAGATTCAGACATCCTGGTAATCTTTGAACACCAGAATTTTCAATAAAATCCATCTTCAGAGGACTGTCTTCCACATAGCACACATTATTATAGAAAGGACTGCAACTGATGAGCAAAATGATTTTCTTTTCTTTTTTATTGTTTATAAAATTGAGTACTCAAGAGGAGCTGTGCTAAAGCAGTTTAAGAACTTGTTTGGAGGGCCGGGGAGATGGCTCAGTAGAATAAGCACTTCCTGGCCAAGTGCAAGGGCCTGAGTTCAATCCCTGGTTCTGAAAAAAAAAAAAAAAAAAAAAAAACGTTTGGCGTGCAGGTAACTTTCGGAACATGGAAGGAAGGACATCATATAAAACTGCTGTGAAGGATTCACTTTTGAAACAAGCAAAAATTATTCTGGCTTCAAAGAATATTGAAGTTGGAATTTAAATGTACATTGTTTGGACTTCTGTTATGAAAGTACATATGCACTGTTCTATAACTAATAACAATTGTTTGTTTTCTATCTCTGTCTCTGTGTCTCTGTTGCTCTGTCTTTTTGCAGTTGATATTGGGAAATGAACCCAAGGCCTCACACATGCTAGGAAAATGCTGTAGCATTAAGCTACATGGCCAAACCATTTGTCTTTTCTTGTTTGTTTGTTTGTACTGGGAATTGAACTCAGGACCCTGTGCTTGCCAGGCAGGAACTTGTGCCACTAAACTACATCCCTGGTCTGACTTTTAAAAAAAATTATTAAGATCCTGTTAAGTAACCTAAGCTAGCCTCAATCTTGTCATACTCCTGGCTCAGCTTCCTGAGTAACTGGTATCCACATATTTTTGTTTTCAAGAAGCGAAAATGAAATCCTAAAAAGTGTTAAATCATGCTGGTTAGAGTCCAGGCACGACACTGTCACTTATTATCCATGTCCATCAAGCGGAAGTTGTTGAATTTTTGGTTATGCGCCATGAAGACCAGTCCCCAGCAACCACCTATACTTTAAATTATGCAAGTGTGTTGAGCAGTGATTTCGGCCTGTACTTTCTCCATTTTCCAAGACCAAGGCACGTGCAAAAATCCATTATCCTGATAAAGTACAGGCTGACCTCTGAGCCTCGGCCCTAATGACCTTAATGGTTTATTGTTTTTATCTCTTGTTAGGAGTTCCTCCGGCCCTATTGTGATAACTGCAGAATTATTATGAGCAGAAGAGCAAGACTTCGAACACACCTCATCATGCTAGCAGGGCTGCATGTCATATTAAAAAATGCTTGTCACTGTGCCCAATTCTTCTGCCAGGAAGACAAGCAAAGTACCTGAGGCCAGGGGCACTTAGACAAAATACCCGTACATTCCCAGCGCCGTGGCTCTTCTGAGCAGTTCAGGGATGGCCTCATAAGACTGACAGTCTTCTAGGGCTCTCTCCCCAGAAACCCTGGCAAGATTTCCAGTATAGAAAGACTGTTTCTATAGCCCAAATTTTCTCCAGTTGATGTATACTGTGAGTGGATTAATAACATCCTAGACTACTGTGGAGATGGAAAACTTGAAATTAAATGAAAGAGTCAAGTATATGCCACACCATGAGGAAAGCTGGTGCAGCAACTCTCAGCTCCCAGCTATTTCTCCTTGGACCTACGATCTTTATAAAACTGGGTTCTTCATCTATCAGTGGGTTGTTGTGGGATTCACAGAGTCAATGCAAATGAAGCTCTTATCATAATAAGAGGTCAGTAAATAAAGACTTAAAAGTGGGTGAGATAGCTCAGCGGACTAAGTACTTGCTTAGGCAACTGCAGGGACTAGAGTTTGATTCCCAGTATGGCATGTTGTGCCTGCCCCACCCCTGGGCTCATTGAGCTGGTGACAGAGTCCCGGCATGGTTGTACATGCCTGTAATCCCAATCTGGGGAGGCTGAAAACAGAAGGATCACTAAGAGTCAGAGCTGTGTAGTGAGATCCTGTATGAAATAAATTTAAAAATAAAAATAAAAATGAAGACTTAAAATACTACTGGTCTTGCTTTGGAAAAGAAGCCAATGAAAATACAGGGATGCAGTCAACTAAGCTGAGCCACAGGTCAAACACCCCTTCACATCACCCCAGAGTCCTCACACTGAGCTTGTTCAGCACAGGCCCTAGAGGTCTGCTTGGGTCACAGCCTTCTGGGACTATAGGTGTGTGGCTCATGCCAGCTCTCAAGGATGGGCTCTTTTATTTGTAAGGTCTATGATCCAGTACCATAATTTTATACTACTGCCGAGGAGGCTGACAGAATGATTTTAATCCATATGATTTCAATTGAGGCTTAAATTGAAATACTACTGGGTATTTTTCATTTGTTGAAGATACCCACTCTGCTATTGCACTTTACCAGAATTTCTTGAAAACTGGGTGATTCTCTTGCATCTGTCAAATTATACTGTTGGTTACTGTCCGAGTGGAGAGAAGGAAACATTAGTGAAAGGAGTCATTTGCCAGTACCTACCAGGATGGAAGAGTGGCATTTGTGTGGAATAAGAGAGGCAGCCTCAGCTCTTCCTGAAAACACACTCTCACCCTCCCCCTGCAGCTCTCCACACCTCCTCAGTGCGCACATTGGTGGAGCACATAGCATGATTTAGTTCTAGAAACATACGGATCAGCCCAGGCATTTAATACTCACTTATTCATCCCAGCAGTAGGATTTGTCCTTTGGCCTGAGCCACACAGTTATCACCTCTCCTGTGTCCTTTCCCAATCACAGGGCAGGAACCGTCTCTGTTCTGTGGCCCCAGCACTGCATGTCTGTCCTGTCTGTGTCCACTTCTCTATAGTGAAATTTTATCATCATTTGAGCCCTCATGCCTGGCTTAATGCCTGTTTTTTTTTTTTTTTTTTTTTTTAAGTTCCTAAAACGTCAATTAAGAAAAAAATTTAATTTAATTTAACACCTTTTGTGCTAGGAAAGTTTTAAAGTGGATTATAAAAATAGATTAAATGCAGAATGACATTATAATTTAGGTGTAGGTGGTACCGAATGAGAGGAAAATAAAGATGGGGCCAAGAGTTATGTAGGAAGGAGGCTAACACAAAACTTCTTCATCATGTTCTCAACAGGTTCCTCTGCTAAAGATTCACAAATTTGATTCTTTTTATTTTTAATTTTCCAGTTTTATTGATGTATAAGCAACAAATAAAATCTTATTATTTCAAGGTGATGATCTGATGTACCTAGCTTTTGAGAAGCTCTCATTCTCCTCACCGAGTTAATGTTTTGTCTTCCTTAGTGGTTAAGCCCTGTTTTCTGGCCTTTCAGGAATGTTACACACTATAGCCTCCGTGGCTGTCTGAGGATCCCTTGACATCATGAATGACACAGTAATTACCCAAACCCAGAAGTTCATGACCAACCAACTTCTTTAAAGGAAACAAATGATCATTGATGTCCTTTACCCTTGGAAAGCAACAGAACCTAAAACAGAAATTCTCGAAAAACTAGCCAAAATGTACGAGACCACACCAGATGTCATTTTTGTGTCTGGATTCAAAACCCATTTTGGTGATGGCATGACAACTGGCTTTGGCATGATTTATGATTACCTGGATTATGCGAAGAAAAATGAGCCCAAACATAGACTTGCAAGACATGCCCGTACTAGAAGAAAAAGTCCTCAAGAAAGCAGTGGAAAGAATGCAAGAACAGAATGAAGAAAGTCAGGGGCACCGCAAAGGCTAACGTTGGCGCTGGCAAAAAGTGGGCTGGAGATTGGAGAACAGCCCAAGGAGTAGAGATTCTGCAGTGCCTGTCGGCAGTGACTGAGACTATTTTCACAAGAGGATTTAATAAACTGCAAAACCTTAAAGAAATGTTACACACTATATAGACTCATCAGACTGCAAGAGGTAATTTAATGGTTCTCCCTTCAATTGGAGCCACTGGAGATAGAGGAGGATGTGCCCTGTTGTTAAAAAGCCAGTCTCTTCCTAGACAGCAATTCTGGTGTTTTACAACCCTTCAATTCTTCCTAATCTCTAAAGCAAATCTCATCTGACAAGGTCCTCCTATCCCATTCCTCTGTGGAAGGAAGCAGGAGTGCTGCTCTCCTTTGTCTGCATAAAGAGGCATCAGCTGGCATCAGTAAGTTGATTCCAGTTTTTTTTTTTTTCTCTACCCCACCAATAACTCAAGTGTCTTTTACCATCTCCTACTTTTGAAAACAGACAATATTGCACTGATAAGATGATGCTAAGAATATCATACATTGTTTCAACAATATGAGTTTTCCCTTATTGATTATAATCCAGGGTCCCCAGTTATGGGCTATATTAGGGACATGTTTTAATTGACTTTTGAGAAAGTGGATCTGGTGAAAATAATCTAAACATGTCCTGCAAAGAGCACATTTATAAAAAGTAAAATTCTATTTGTTGTGTGTTTTTCTATTTAAAGGGTCAGTTTTCCAACTTGAAGAACCTCATAATT